GAGTTTAACCTCTTTATAGATCAAAATGGACAGACTAAAATCAACTAAAACACATCCCAGGGATTTAGTATTCTAACGTCGTGGACAGTCAAAGAAGACATGACTTGTGCAATGCCAAAAATAAATGTATCGACAGGCAGTAGGATAGTAAGGAGTTTAACCTCTTTATAGATCAAAATGAACGTCGGTGTGTCTTTATACATCCCGTTTGAAAAGAATACAAATTGAGTTATGTTTTAATTTGCTGATGACAAAATCGATATTAGTGCCAATGCAAACTATATTCAAAGATCTAATTACAACATTGGTAAGATAACCTTTACTAATAATATACCTGGTTTCTATGAATTTAAACTTAGGGTAAAATATTTTAGAAAGCTGTGAAATTTGCAAAATTTGGTTGAATAGATAGGGATTTTGAATTGGTGGTCTGACTCCTTTAAAGCGAAAAGCGGTGAATCCAAAAATTAAGAACACAATTTATTTTTTTTTTGTCTTAACTGATCAATTGAGATGCAAGTAAACACATTTCAACCTTTGTTTGGCAAAAAAGTCACATATTGCAAAATTAGAGCCTTAAACCTGAATTTGTGCTATTTTAAGCTTTTACCAACCTTACAATATGCATTCAAATAAAAAAATGTCTGAAATTGTTATGAATACACAGTAATTTGTTTCTGTGGTATTAAACATTAAAACATAGGTTGTTTACTACCAAAAACTATTGTCATGAAGATTTTATAAAATTATTTGATTTTTACCCATTCTATCATTGGGTCATTCCATGTATTTTGCAGATAGCATAGCCTAATGTAAAAACTGCATGAACCCACCCCAATCCCATAAATTGTCTCAAATGAAAGTTTTCTACCTTAGATTTTATTGACTTATAGTAAATAAAAAGTGTTTCATGACCATAACTGCATTATTGATGAATAACTGGTGCATTACTGGCACCTGATGAAAAAAAGGGGGGTCAATATTCCTTGACTCTTCAATACCTTTGATTTTTTTATTAAACTCATTGTAAAAGTTGTAAAAAGTCTTTAAAACAGTAGGACAAACAAGGAAAAACCAACCAAAATTTATCTTGATATTGAAAGTTTTTGTTCCTGAAGTCAAAAATTAAATTTCAAGTATTTTCTATAAAAGTCATACATTACAGTAAAATTAAATTGAGCTGTGAATTTTGCAATACAATTCGCATAATGATGAGATATGGTTTTATTTACTTCAAATTGACCAAGAGTTAAGAATAAAGCAAAACAAAAGACTTCTGATAATTTTTTATGTCTCTTTAAAGCGAAAAGCGGTGAATGCAAAAATTAAGAACACAATTGATTTTTTTGTCTTAACTGATCAATTGAGATGCAAGTAGACACATTTCAACTTTTTTTGGCAACAAAGTCACATATTGCAAAATTAGAGCCTTAAACCTGAATTTGTGCTATTTTAAGCTTTTACCAACCTTACAATATGCATTAAAATAAAAAAATGTCTGAAATTGTTATGAATACACAGTAATTTGTTTCTGTGGTATTAATCATTAAAACATAGGTTGTTTACTACCAAAAACTATTGTTGTCATGAAGATTTTATGAAATTATTTGATTTTTACCTGTTCCATCATTGCGTCATTCCATGTATTTGCAGATAGCATAGCCTAATGTAAAAACTGCATGAACGCAACCCAATCCCATAAATTGTCTCAAATGAAAGTTTTCTACCTTAGATTTAATTGACTTATAGTAAATAAAAAGTGTTTCATGAACATAACTGCATTGTTGATGAATTACTGGTCCATTATTGGCACCTGATGAAAAAAAGGGGGGTCAATATTCCTTGACTCTTCAATACCTTTGATTTTTTACTAAACTCATTGTAAAAGTTGTAAAAAGTCTTTAAAGCAGTAGGATTAAGAAGGAAAAATCAACCAAAATTGATCTTGATATTGGAAGTTTATGTTCCTGAAGTCAAAAATTTAATTTCAAGTATTTTTCTATAAAAGTCATACATTACAGTCAGTTTAAATTGAGCTTTGAATTTTGCAATAGAGTTCGCATTATGATGAAATATGGTTTTATTTACTTCAAATTGACGAAGGCTTAAGAATAAAGCAAAACAAAAGACTTCTGATAAACTTTTATGTCTCTTTAAAGCGAAAAGCGGTGAATGCAAAAATTAAGTACACAATTGATTTTTTTGTCTTAACTGATCAATTGAGATGCAAGTAGACACATTTCAACCTTTTTGTGGCAAAAAATCCCATATTGCAAAATAAGAGCCTTAAACCTGAATTTGTGCTATTTTTAGCTTTTTCCACCCTTACAATATGCATTCATATAAAAAAATGTCTGAAATTGTTATGAATACACAGTAATTTGTTTCTGTGGTATTAAACATTGAAACATAGTTTGTTTACTACCAAAAACTATTGTTGTCATGAAGATTTTATGAAATTATTTGATTTTTACCTGTTCTATCATTGCGTCATTCCAATTAGCTTGCAGATAGCATAGCTTAATGTAAAAACTGCATGAACCCACCCCAATCCCATAAATTGTCTCAAAAGAAAGTTTTCTACCTTAGATTTAATTGACTTATAGTAAATAAAAAGTGTTTCATGACCATAACTGCATTATTGATGAATAACTGGTCCATTACTGGCACCTGATGAAAAAAAGGGGGGTCAATATTCCTTGACTCTTCAATACCTTTGATTTTTTACTAAACTCATTGTAAAAGTTGTAAAAAGTCTTTAAAGCAGTAGGATTAAGAAGGAAAAATCAACCAAAATTGATCTTGATATTGGAAGTTTATGTTCCTGAAGTCAAAAATTTAATTTCAAGTATTTTTCTATAAAAGTCATACATTACAGTCAGTTTAAATTGAGCTGTGAATTTTGCAATATAAGTCGCATTATGATGAGATATGGTTTTATTTACTTCAAATTGACGAAGGCTTAAGAATAAAGCAAAACAAAAGACTTCTGATAAACTTTTATGTCTCTTTAAAGCGAAAAGCGGTGAATGCAAAAATTAAGTACACAATTGATTTTTTTGTCTTAACTGATCAATTGAGATGCAAGTAGACACTTTTCAACCTTTTTGTGGCAAAAAATTCCATATTGCAAAATTAGAGCCTTAAACCTGAATTTGTGCTATTTTTAGCTTTTTCCACCCTTACTATATGCATTCATATAAGATAATGTCTGAAATTGTTATGAATACACAGTAATTTGTTTCTGTGGTATTAAACATTAAAACATATGTTGTTTACTACCAAAAACTATTGTTGTCATGAAGATTTTATGAAATTATTTGATTTTTACCCGTTCTATCATTGCGTCATTCCAATTAACTTGCAGATAGCATAGCCTAATGTAAAAACTGCATGAACCCACCCCAATCCCATAAATTGTCTCAAATGAAAGTTTTCTACCTTAGATTTTATTGACTTATAGTAAATAAAAAGTGTTTCATGACCATAACTGCATTATTGATGAATTACTGGTCCATTACTGGCACCTGATGAAAAAAGGGAGGTCAATATTCCTTGACTCTTCAATACCTTTGATTTTTTACTAAACTCATTGTAAAAGTTGTAAAAAGTCTTTAAAGCAGTAGGACAAACAAGGAAAAATCAACCAAAATTGATCTTGATATTGAAAGTTTATGTTCCTGAAGTCAGAATTTAAAATTCAAGTATTTTCTATAAAAGTCATACATTACAGTCAGTTTAAATTGAGCTGTGAATTTTGGAATATAGTTTGCATTATATTGAAATATGGTTTTATTTACTTCAAATTGACCAAGGATTAAGAATAAAGCAAAACAAAAGACTTCTGATAAACTTTTATGTCTCGTTAGGTGTCAGACCAATTCACCCACTCCAATTTAGAACGTATGTAAAAGTAGCCCTTCCCTGACAAAAAAATAGTTCTTTTGATGTCATTGTTTACCTAAACTAACCAACAAATTTGCAGAACTTTTGTTGAAAGAGAAATATATGTAGACCATTTTGAGCTAAAATTTACTTGTCCATGAGTTTGCATTAAAAATTGAGGATTAATGCGCTCCATAGTTAACTTATTTCAGATTTCCAGAAAACCATGGGTTATTTTTAGCAGTACTTTTCTTCCGAACATTAGTTTATCCTTACAAGACTTTAAACATAGGTTGAAAATTGGCATGTAGAAAGATGATACATGTACAATTCAGGATAAACCTGGTTTTGTATGAAGTTAAACTTAAGTTAAAATATTTAGAAAGCTGTGAAATTTGCAAAATTTGGTTGAATAGATAGGGATTTTGAATTAGTGGTCTGACACCTATAGCAAGGAATATATACTAACACCACTCTATCATCTCACATATGATACACGTGCTGCATTATTCTGTGTTGATTGTTTATCAAGGTTGCGATCAATTGATTTCGGCACCATAACCTGAAAGTTAATTAGCAGTCAAAGTTTCCCATCAATAATCACCGAATGATATATATTTTGGTCGATTTTACGTTATGGATTCGTAATAAATGTAAAAACACGTCTACAGAGGACTAATTTAAGTAAATATGCATGCATTGGTTCAATAATTTGCTTACATTATAATCAACAGAAACTCAGATGACTTTAAAGGAAAGTCTATGTACACATGTTATCATAGTAAAACTTGGCCTTTCAAGTATATAAAACATAGTCATCTATTTTTTTTTAATTTGAAGTATCATATGACTTTAAAAATTGAAAATGATCATTGAATTTCTTTTAACACCTCCTATAAACACGCATACTAACAAAGTATTTGAAAAGTTTTGTATTTTAATTTTTCTAGATATCTATAGATCATTTAATCCTATAATTTCTTTTTTTGACTAGCACATAATGTTCACTGGTGAATGTAACCAACAGCTAGTATGTAATATTAGTGCAATAGCCTTATCTCATTTATATGACTAATATAGTGTTTCATAATCATTTAATTTCTAAAATATCTTACCTGTTAGTATGAACTTTGTTGCAGCATGGCCTATTTTTACATGTCTGTTAAAAGGCCATATTTTCTCTTTCTTGTAAACTGTAACTTTCATGTGATATTCGCCAGGATTAACAGCGTAACTCAAAAATGTATCTATATCAATACTTGACGTGTAGTTAGCTTCGGATGTTAATGTGTTCTTGTTGGCGGTATTTACCCAGAAATATACATAGAGTGTTTTATAAGATAAAACCTTTTCAAGTGCTGATATATTAGCTGAAAATTTAATGACAGAGTCCAAAACTGCTGGACTTGAACTGTTAACAGTGATCTGATATGGTTCCTCTGAAAAAATATATAAAAGTATCATCTGAAGTTTTATAGATGGATATAATAAATATCAAGAATTAAATACTCGAGGAGATATATGACCGAAAAGCATCTAATGTAACTTTGCCTTGGGTAGTAGACCTAATAGTTTCATCAACGAAAAATTAAAAAAATGTATGCTGTAAATTACTTCAGTGGCTTGAGGCCAAAATAAAAATAAAAAATACTTGAATGCGTGTAGGGTTAGGCCATCTAACCTGGTTTATGCCTCAAAATGTCTACCCTAAATTTTTTATTGGCACTACTGGTAGTGAATTGTGACAAAATTGCAGGATATCCCAATATTCTCGAGGTAAAAAAATATAAAATTGAAAACCAATCCTAAATTATAACCCCATTTTTCTAAATAAGGAAACCCAAATAACACATAGTTTTTGATTGGCATGGGCTGGTACTTTTTAATGACTTTTATCACACCAGCAGCGGTATTGCCCCGAGCTAGAAACACTTCATAATTTGGTGTGTCCGCTGCACCTTCATCGGAAAAAAAAAAAAAAAAACAACTTGAAAGCCAAAGATTTATAGTTTCCAAGATATTTGCAAAATAAAAGAAATAAAGAAATGCGTAGAAATCATTAGTTATAGACACAAATGCCTATAAGGAGTTAATTGAACAGTTTTTTTAATTTTCTTTATTTGTAGATCTTATCTTGATCGTGTATGTCGAGCCTGCGGCGTCAAAATTTATGTTCAGTCTTTGGTTAAAGATTTTTTTAGACATCAATAACTTTGATAAACCTTGATGGAATTTTATGAAATTTGGACAGAAGCTTTTTCATAAACAAAAGACAGTATCCAGAGAAAGACAATATTTATTCTATCTTTTTAACATTAAGATTCAGTCTAAGATTAGATTTTTTCATTCATCAATAACTTTGTCAAACCTATATGTAATTTAAAATAAATTGGACAGAAGCTTTTTTTTATTTTCGTTTTTTTACTGATAAAAGGACTTAGTTTTTTGCAGTAAACAAGTGAAATACAGTCCGGGGTAAAGTTTGTTACACATTAATTAATTTGGCAAACCTTCATAGAGTTTTGTGAAATTTTGTCAGCATCTTTTTTTTATGATTAAGAGATGTCTGGTGCAAAATTTTGAAATATTTCTTTCATTTTTCAGTATTTTACTGATAAATGGACTATTAACATTAACAGTCTGGGATTAATTCTTTTAACATAATAAATTTGTCAACCTTCAATTGATTTCATAAAACTTGGACAGAAGTGTAACGTCAAGATAAAGAAATAGCACTTAAAAAAAGTTTGTTTCTGTATTTTGCTGACTCATTTTTTACAGTCAACATTACAACGGCCTTTTTTACTTTTTTGATTCGATTGCCACTGATGAGTCTTTTGTAGACAAAACGCGCGTATAGCGTACAAACTTTTGAGCCTGATATATATGATGAGTTTGTTTACACTTTCACACTGACGGCAGCAATCGCAGGCAAGACATAGGGTTCTGCGAAATCCTTTACTAACTTTTGCTGTATACAGGCTTTCTTTATCTACAATGTTTTATAATTAAAACATTAAAGCAGTAAAAATTATCACTTAATGGTAATAACTACTACAAGAAGTCAATCGTTTAACTTAATTGTAGATCGTATCCTGCTGATAATGTTTGTTTTACTGTTGAACATTTTTTCCTATCTATTACAGTTTTCCAGAAAATAGTAAATAAGAATATATGACATCATACCCCACCCGCAATTTCACATTTCCATGTTCAGTGAACCATGAAATCTTGGCCGAAACCCTAATTTATCATGTATATTTAACAATTCATTTAAAAATAAACATTTGTACTAAGGTTCAAGTTGATGTGATCACACACTATCTTAAACTAAAACATTATCCTTCCTTAATCCAAAACATTATCCTTCCTTAAACCAAAACATTATCATTCCTTAAACCGTAAACCAAAACATTATCCTTCCTTAAACCAAAACATTATCCTTCCTTAAACCAAAACATTATACTTCCTTAATCGAAAACATTAACCTATCACATTTCCATGTTCAGTGAACCGTTACCCTAATTTGGTATATATATTAATCAGAATGTCTTTTTTTCGGCTATCCGTTTGCGCGTGAAAAATGTTCGATATTAGCATTAGTATCATAAGTGGTGAAAACAAACTCCATCAAAGATACAAGGATTATATTTTTCTACGCCAGTCACGCGTTTCGTCTACAAAAGACTCATCAGTGACGCTCGAATCAAAAAAGTTACAAGGCCAAATAAATTCCGAAAGGTTTTGCCTATACAGCTAAAGTATCTTTTCCCAAGGTAGAACATCCTTAGAGCAATACACAGTTAGGAGTGTGGTTTCGTATTTGGACCCGGTGGATTTTTAAAATTTGGAAATTATTGTGCAATAACATTCATTTTTAGACAGCTGATGACTAATTTAGCCGTCTAAGTGGGTTTATATGAATATCAGGAGATTTTTTTCATGTTTTATGGGCTACTTTCTGTTTGACAGTCCGTATTTTCATATCCGGACCAGTCATAGGCCCAGAAATTATTGCAATGTTTACAAACACTTTTTTTTCACACGAACTTTTTGAGGCAAATTTATGCAAAAATGAGATGAATAGTTTAAGAAGAAAAGTTTTCACTCAAGGAATCGAAATTCTACTTTTGGCCTAATTTTTATGAAATATGTGACATCTTCGCACCCCTTTTTGCAATATCTTGTAGCAAATAAATGCAAAATTGTTGCCATTGATACACCAAAATTTTTTATATATAACCATTTTTTACTACTGGAAATCAAATCTATGGAAGATATTGATTACATATATGCAAATATATGACAAAAACAATCAGCTTAATTTGTAAGAAAGCAAGGAAACGGGGATGGTAAAATTAATGAGGTACATTTTGATTTTGTTTCCCTAACTGTATATTGCTACCTATGGGCATATTTAGAAAAACTCAGTATTGAACGCTTTATATTTTTTTCATGCAAATTTATCAAATTATTATTTTAAGCAAGGTTTCATGCTACAACTTGGCATAAATTACATCTATAGTTGTCTTCGCTGTTAGAAATCGATTCCATATAAGCAAGTTTCTTAATCAAGGCTGTTGAAGGTGACCTATAGTTGTTAATTTCTGTGTCATTTGGTCTTTTGTGGAGAGTTGTCTCATTGGCAATCATACCACATCTTCTTATTTTTGTATTTAGTATGCAATACAAATAAAAATTGACATTGTTGTGCTATAAATTGCTTAATTTGGCATCTTCAGAGGTCTTATTATAATAAGATTTTCTATATTATTCTGTTACCTCGTTCCTCAATTTATATAGTTCGATGGATTATATTGTTAATCTGTTTATGTGTTCCTGACCTAGGAGGATTATTCATCTTTAAACCGTATGAGAACTTCAAAATATCGTTATTATCGTTACCTGTTCCCTTTCTTACGCGTAACTCGAACTGAACTGCAAGGTCATGACAGAACTGGAGAACATTTAAGACAAACGTCATCTTGGACACAATTTGTGGCTAACCACAGAGTGAGATACACTACTAACTTTGTATTTGATGCCTTCAAACCGTTCATCACATATTTGAACTCTTTATCCGTGATATACTTGAAATTTTACTTTTATAATTGCAACTTTATTTCGCGTTCAATGGACTGTACTATTATTTATATTTGACATTTCATACATCAATACATAACATTAATTAAACACATTGTAAAATTGTATTTCATTTTGTATTTTCAGCTTTTTACCATTCGTTAGATTGGTTCTTGATTAAAGTATCAGCACCTGAGAGTCTTTTCTGCTTGAGCCCAATCGTCGGTTATACTTAATGGTCAGGCCATTACAGTAAAAAGTCTACAACTTGCCTGTTGTGTCTCACATATAACGTCACTCCACGTCAGTTTTACGGCTACAAACTTCCTGTTGTGTCCTTCAAGAAAACGCCATTCATTGGCCCACAGTAAATTGACGACAACCTGTCGACAAGTATCCTGACCAGGAAATACAACGAAGCATCGTTAGTAGCTGTTACCTTGACACTACGCAACACAGCTTGTGTGTCCCAGGCAGCAAACCAACAACGTTAGGCTAACGTTGGCAACAGTCTATTCTAATCTAACTATCCGTTAGTTGATCAGAAAACATGGATTCTGATCATGCAGAACGCAGAGACGACACCGAGTGTCAAGATAAAGAAATCCAAGCAAGAGCGGAACATCAAGTGGGTGCAGGACAGCCTGTCGAGAATCCGTCTAATGATTCACATTTAGAAGAAAATCCCGAGACTAGGCGAATACGTGAACTCACGGAAAAAGATCAGGGAGCATTCACAGAGAAACATGACAAGTTCTGTCAGGAGCTAGAGGCCCTCTGGTCAGATTTAGATTTCCAGTTATTGGAAGTGACCACGCCTTCCAACGAGCTCCGGCAACTGCTAACAGCACAGGACAAAATTATTATTAACGCAGGCTCACAGACGAGTACCTGAAATTTCTGACGAATACCAGAACCTTGGGCAGTCTAAAGGACATAGACACATGTAATCTTTCATCAGATATTCGTCTGTCCAAAGTAGACCTGGTCATGGAAACCCTACACGAGCATCGCCTCGCACTGACAAAAGCTAGGTCAACTAAAACGAAGACATCAAAGGGTAAAAAAACCTCACACAGCGGAAGCTCTTACGTTTCTGGCATGTCAAGCCTAGCACGGAGGAAGCGTGCCAAGGCAGAGTCTGCTAGATCTAAGATAGCATTTGCCGAAAAACAAGCCGCGCTCCTTAAGCAGGAGGCAGTATGAGAGGAAAAAGCACTGTACAGACAATCAGAAATCAAGGCCGAAATAGAACAAGAAGCCATCTGTGCGAAACAGGAAGCCACACGTAGAAAAGCCGAAGCGGAACAAGAAGCCACACGTAAATTGCCGAGGCTGCACACCTGCAAGCCCAAAT